TTCCTCTTAATGCAAACTGTTTCAAATTCTCCCTCAAGGATTGAGTTTACCTTTCCAGCTGTTTGGCTATTGCTTGTATGTTTAGCGACTAAGGGCTCATTTAAAGAGATGACACCAAGGTAAAGGCTCAGAATTAGGGAATGGAAGAATCTTTACAAAGAGCATCCCCTCAAGAGGCCATATGTTAGGTGGTTGTAGGATTTGGGGAGGGTCAGCAGGCCTGGATTTAAATCCCAGCTTGGACACTTGCTAGTTGTGTAACAAACTCAGAGAGGCGAGTTTACTGACCCTCCCTGAGAACCGCTGCTTTGCATCTATCAAACTAGGATACTATCTCCTTTGTAAGTGTCAGGTGTAAATGAGGTAATATTGCAAAGGTGGTTGGCACGGCTCCTGGTATATAGCAATCCATCGGGACATGGCAACGATTATTGTTATTACTTTCTGATATAAGTTTTTATTAGTTATCTATTGCTGCCATGACAAATTACTATAAACTTGGTGTCTTAAAACAACAAAAAATGTATTATCTCATAGTTCTATGAGTCAGAATCCTGACATGGGTCCGTCAGGCTAAAGCTGTGGGTGTCAGCAGGGCTACGTGCATTTCTGGAGGTCCTGGGGCAGCGTCCTTTGTCCTTTCCCCTTCGTAGAGGCCACCTGAGCGCTTTGGCTGGAGCCTTCTTCCTCCATCTTCAAAGCCAGCAATGGCAGGGTGAATTCTTCTCAAATCACATCACTCACTCTGACCTCTTCTTCTGTCTTCCTCTTCCACTTTTAAGGACCTTGTGATTACACCGGGCCCATCTGAATATCCTGGGGTAATCTCTCTAACTAGATGTCAGCTGATAAGCAACCTTATTTCCCCCTTATCATGTAACCACAGGCTCTGAACATTAGGATGTGGACATCTTTGGGGGGCTTGGAATGGAGGGAGGGTAAGGGAGACAGTCTCTTCTCATTTTTCCTCCTTCTCTTCCATGGCTCTCAGCAAGGTCTATGCCTAAGAAACAAGTGGCTTGGGGCCTTACCACCTGGAAAGGGATCCCCACGACAAATTCCATCTGCTGGCTGAGGACCTCTGGCCTGGTCTACACCTTTCCCTCCAGGTCAGGCCTGGATCTGTGAATGCTCTGCTTGGAGCCAGGAGGACTGCTTTGTTCCACGTGAATCACAAAGCCAAGCGGTGCCCTGGGCTCCTGGAGCCCTTGTGACACTCCCAGTGGGAAGGAGGGCTTGGCTTGGCAGGCTGCTCAAATACCAGGTTGCATGGTTACATCCTCACGCTGCGGCACTCCCCCCGGGAGCGGCTGAATTCAGCGGATTCAAGCTGAAACTGGGGCAGCTCTGAATACCAAGGCCAGGGCCCCAGAAAGTCTGCACAGCGACTCTGAATCCTTAACTGAAAGAGCAATCTCTACACCTAAAGCTTTTATAATTTGGAGGATAATAAAAAACTTTTAACAAGAACAAAAAAAAGGTCTCTCCTTTCTGCCTGCAAAGTTGGAGGGACATTTTCATTGTGTTCGAGTCTTGGGCTGACTCTACCTCACAGCATTTGTTTTTTGTCTTTGGAAGGGCTAAAGTGATTTGGTTTTCTTGCCTAAATTAAGAAAAGCCACTGACATTCAGTAAGTGTCCCAGTGGCTTAGAAGAAAGTTACCAGGTAGTTGCAAAGTCCTCCTTCTGATCTGATGTGCACACCAGGCCTGAGTTCTGTTCTCCTGGTGTTCTCGGTGACAGGTGTGTGACAACCCTGCGATGTCCTTTAGGAGAAGCAGCTAACTGCCCCAGCCCGTTGTATGCTAAAGCACAGGTTGATAAAGCAGAGGACCGAGAGCCCACTGAGGCTTTGGAGCCACCAAGACAGGGACTCAGAAGTAAAAAACTTTCCCAGACCTGAGCTTTATGTTTTCAAAGCACTCATCTCGCTGGAGTTCAGGAACTTTTCGTGGGTTCTGAGGGGACAGTGGCTCACGTAGGAGCTGCCGGAGTCCAGCAAGCCACCTGACTGTTAGCCCAGCCTCTCGGCCCTCCTTGGCATATTTCTTCTTCCTCCCAGGCTGTGAGTTCGGAGACCTCCGGGCCAAAGCTCCCTTTATCTGTCCGTTATCTGGGGCCTATGACATGTAATAAGCCACCTCCATTTGTCCCTTTTGATCCTCCCTTCTCAGCCGGCTGGCTCTAGTTTGATGGAAGTAGCCACCGATCACTATCAGGAAAAACCTGGAGCCCAGAGGTGGCAACCCTAAAGAGTGACAGGAGATCAAGGGTACACTAGGCATTTTGAATTTACTATCTGCATTTATTATTTCTCAGAAGCCGGCTGGTGACATACCAGACTCACAAACTGACATGGTCTCTATCTCCCAGGCTCCGAAGGTACACATTCCTATCAGTTACTTTTAATAACCCTAAAGATACTGCAGCCACATCCTGCTGCAAACAGCCAAGCTCTGCCCGGTAGGCCAGCGTCCTCTAAGGTCTTGCCCTCCAATAGCTGTTCTGAGCTGCACTGCTGAGGTTACAGATTTTCTAAACAGGGATCTGCCTTTCTTGTACTAGTCTTCCCTTTGCTGAAGTTTGATCAGATCTAATCTCTCAGTACTTTTCCTATTTCCTTCATAAACTCACATGGTCTATTGCTTTTGTGTGAATTCACTGGGCTGTCTTTTCATACAGAACTTCCTTGAAATACCTTAGCTCTGAGATCTTTGATTATCAAGTTAAAAAGGAAGAATTCTGGTCATTTATCTAATTTAAGTTGTTTAAAGAACATATTTCTGATTATGGGGGCAAAAACAGTATTACCCAAATTGTAACCAATTTGCATACTACTTTTCTTTCTGATATCACTACACACCATCTGTGATATTCTTCCTCGATATTTTACACTGCATTGTCTCAAGCCTACACTATCCTTACCTTAAGCAATATTTGTAAAATCATAGGTTTGATGTACTAGTTGTAAGTTTTTAAAAAATCTTAAAATTAAAGTGTAATTATTAAAAAGAAGTATTTTCCTGTCTACTATCTAAAATTACCCCCTATATTACTTATGTTAGCCTTCCACTTTGGGAAATGGTCATCTAGAATATATTTTTGCAACTGTACATAACTACTATATATTTGAGATTTTTATGAAGAATTTTATAGAAAAAAATCCACTACTATTTTAACACAGCCAAAGATGAAGCATTACTATGGTCTGTTCATAACAACTTTGGAGAGTAAAGAAATTTAGCATATTCTAGAATAATGCAAAATATCTCCTGGCCTATAGGTCAGAACTTATATAAAACAGAAATTTATAATCCTTATTAAATCCTATTTCTTTAAAAAGCAATCTGAGTTCTTTCTTGAAAACCTGGTCAGTCATCCATTCAGTTTTAAATAAATGATCATATCTGAGTATTCCAGTCCAGGGAGAACCAGAAGACATTGTTGTCCACTTGGTTCAGCCACATAAGCTGAACTAAGACAACCTAACAAATGCTACCCATCTTTCCAACCCCACCCCCAAATCCTCCATCTCCAAAAGCAGAAACAAGCTCAGCTGTGATCTCTAATAATTCCATTAACCCTGCAATGAAGCATTAAATTAAACTGCCTAGTGCAGATTCTTCTTTTGCTATAAGGGGCCTGCATTTTATGCTGATAAATTTACCAATCAACTACATGTATACAAGAGAACACAAATGAGAAAGATAATTGGGAAATCTCCAGTGGGCATGTTGATTTTTCCCCTCAATAATATTTACTATAAAGATTTTAGTTACAGAGAGTTTAGTCTTCATTAACGGCAGAGAAAAAACCAACTTGTGCTAGAACCCTAGCCTTTTGTCATCTCTGATACATATAAATCACAAGCCTGGACACTGAGTAGACTTAAGGAGGACACATTCGAGTCAGTGGTAGAGACTGGGCCAGATCCCAAGTTCCTAACAACGAATTCAGTGTTTCCCAGCCTTCCCTGAGAGAACATGAAGATTCCTCTTCAGCAAATTCCATTTCTGGGTTTGACTTTGGTATCCGTCTCTTCAGTGTGCTGCCCTATTTCTCCAAAGTCAGACAACTACGGGAGTCACTTAGCTCTTTGTAAGAAGCATGCCCTGCCAAGAGAACAGCAGGAAGCTGTCCTCGTGCTACTATTTGGCTTTCCGACATATGAGGTTTAGCACCCAAAAGGAGTACAGTCATTTCAAAGCACTCACATCTGAATTCCACACTACGTCTCATCAACCCAGATGTGGAAAGAGGTCAAGCACGCCAGAAAAAATCCTTGAACAGCCAGATCATTAAAGGCTATTTGAAATCTGTGCTGAAATCCAGAATTATAGCACAGTAGAGCTGGAAGGGATCCTGGCAATCATATAGTCCAAGGCCCTTCTTTAACAGGGTTGCTCAAGGTCACAGAATAGGTTTGTGTCAGAGTAAGGACTGGAACTGGGAGGCCAATAGACCTCTTTATCCTAGCGTTTTCTGAAGCTCTTTTCTTCTCTGACAGCGGTGGTGATGACACACGATCAATCCCGGTAATGTCAACGTCTCAGCACGTGGCACATAAACCTACATCTCTAAGCCTTGCCTCCCACTACCAGGCAACAGGAGGCTCTACGGGGAAGGCTGCTCCGCCAAGGTGAAGCGGCTCCCTTCTGCACATGGACATGTGTGCCCCAAGGTGCAATGCCTAGAAAGCCAGCTAATGAGAGAGGAAGTAAAGCAGACCCCTGGGGCCTGCTGAGCTGACGAAGGTGCAGTAGCAACAGTCAAAACAACAACGGAAGCACCCAAGCCTGAGCTCCCTGTGTTCTTGCTGTCAGCAGCTCTACCCTGCACTGAAGCAGGACTCAAGAGCGCTCAGCACCCCTCTCCCAGTGTGTCAGCTCCCAACCCCAGGCCAGGCCTTCCCACCACTCTCCTAGCATCACAACCCTCACTTCCCAGGCCACTTTGGAATCACCCATGCATCCTGCCAACCCCAACCGAAGCGAGCTTACCTGTCAGCGTCTCCGAGGCCCAGGGAGGTATTTCGTTGCAAGGTCTCCCGCACCACAGCCATCCCATCAGGGAGACGGTTCAGGCGACGGGTGTAGAGGCCAAGTCCACCGTCGGTCATGTACCTTTAAGAGGATGAGGCACATGTAGGGTCAAAAGCAAGTGGCAAACAGGCTTGCTGTTCACATCCAGAAGCCCTTCATGGCCATCTCATTGTGCTTTAAGGGGGAAGGAACAGAGGATTCCCTGAGGCTCTGTCACCGATCAACGCCCAAGGATAACTCAGCCTCTGATTCAACCTAGAGAATCACCAACTTGCTAGCAAAAAAAAAAAAAAAAAACCAAAAAAAAACCCTCAGCTTAATTAACCCAAACTCACAGGAATCTATAAAGCAGAAGGGAACTAGTGAATAAAATTAACTGTCAGATGTATTCATGACATTCTTTTTAATGTCAGCAATTATACAAGCAGGTGTTTTACCTGTGTAAGTGAAATTGACAAGTCATTAGCAAATCATAGGCAAAAATATTACAGAATAGTACAGCGGAGAAAGCAGGCAGACATTTAAGAGAGGAGGAAAGGACAGAGGACAGAGGAAATACCTTTGCCATCACGGGGCAAGTCGCTGCTCTGGGCTGTAGGGTTTTCACCTAAACTCTGGGAACGTCACAGCTGGTGATATATGGGAATGTCACAAGGCAGACATGCGAATTAGCAAGATATGGGATATAGAAGTGCTCTGCAATCTGTGTAAGACTACATAAAATGGAAGACATTATGGTTGTTGTGATCTTGAATTTCACCTTTGATATTGATGTCTTAGGGGGATTGTCAGGAAACTCTGTAAACAACAGCAATGCTAATTTACTCTTTTCTAGATCTCTTGGTGACACTACAAAGCTGTCTTCTGCTGGAACCATTGTTGTCTAGGGGAGGGAGGGTCCTTGGAACTTGCTGTACAGATGGCTGGCAGTCTACCAACCAGACAGGTTCCCGAAAGCTTAGCACTAGTAGGAGGTAGCTCAGGTCCAAAGCCATAGTACCTCGTATCCACGTTGGTTCGTTCACAGCACCCCATAAAGGAGACTGGCTGGGTCATTTCCCCCACATTCAGAGGAGAAGAGGATGGCAAAGCAAAACTTGGGCAGAGCTCAAAAGCAAACTTGGATCCTTTACTCCCTTGCATGGACCCCATCAGATCACCCGGCAAGGTATCTGAACATGCAGGCATTTCACTTTTCAAGTCAAATAATGTGTAGCAAGAACATCAATGAGTCATTATTTTCTTGAAACAGAGTCGGCTGACCAAAACCACTGCATTTTACTGCACTCGGCATTTTTGCTTTTGCATACATGGGGTTGATCCTGAAGGTTCCCCATCCTTGAATTTCTTCCTCCTCTAGCTGGGGACCTTTTCGGGGTATATCCTTAGAAGAACAAAATTAGGAGATGCTGTGGAGGTTTCCCACAACCAGTAAGTTCAAGTAAGGGGCAGGGAAGAAAGTTCCCACTGAAGCCCTCTAGTGTCAGAAGCACCTTCCACTACGGTCACCGGAATCCTCCCTTGCTCCCGGGACATCACGTCTGAACCGAACGCCTCTGATGTCCCCTCCTCCTCCCTTTATGAACTAACGACCACAGACGACGCAAGGCCAACACCGTGGACAATCTGTTGGCATGAGTCAGACCAAGTGTTTGTGGTTGATCCGACGACACGACAGTAGAATAGACTGAACTTTTCACTCAACTGTATCATTTTAAAAACAAAAAAACACTCTGTGAATATACGACAAACCACTGACTTGTACAATTTAAAATGGTGAATTTTATGATATATGAATTATATCTCAATTAAAAAAGTAAAATACACGGACTGTAGCTATAGTTAAATAATTATTTGTTTAATTGCCTTTTGATGCTTGTCTCTCACACTAGATGGTAGGCTCTTTGGAAGGAGAGATTATTCCTATTTTGTTCAAATATATCCCATGAGCCTAGTGCTTATTAAGTACTGATTTTGTTGAACGAATGAACACATGAATGAATGAAGCCCAGAGACATAGCCATAGGGTGGGGTTTAGCAAAAACTTTTTGTAAGACACTGATGACAGGTTTTCTTTCCTCTTAAATGCTAATAAACTGTACTTCTGAGACATAACAGCCACCAAATTAAACTGTGTATCTGCCAGTCTAACCATCATCCATCTATCTGTCCATTTGTCCTTCCGTCCACCTATCCATCCGCAAGTCCAACAGATATAGTGATTCAGGGCAGAGCTGAGATAAGCTATGTGCATTCATCCTGCAACTGCCACAAGGAGGGAAAAAAAAACACCTACAACAAAATGCTGTAACTTTGCCAGAGGCTGGACTTTCTAGATCAAATGTCCTTTCAAGGAGAATTCAGTGGAAGCTCTTTAAAATACAATCTATTGCACCATTAAGCAAGGCAGTTAATTTTGATTTTAGCAAAGTCTGCCCAGCCAGTTAGATAAACAAAATTCTTTCAACTGGGGAGATCTTGTCAAAGGACAAACAAACTAATTTTAGCATTCATTTCCCTGCTGGATTTTTACTGCTGGTGAAACAACACGCACAGTTGGGCAATTACATGCACCCGGGCATGTAGACAAGGCCCACACATACATACCCCTGGCTTCCGGCTACGGCCAGAGAGCAGAGCCTGGTGAGCATTTGGGGATGGAATGCTAAGACGTGCTGCAGCCCCCTAGCCCAGCAACACCTGGCTGCAGTGTGGTTCAGTGACAGTCAACGAAGGTGGGAAGGCCCTGGAGAGATGGGACTCAGTGGGTGAATGTGGTTTGTCAACTGCTGCCAGGAATTCTTTGTTTAGTCAGATAGGAGGGAAAGGCAAGGATAAACCAGGATGCTCTACCTTCTCAAATACACTAAGAACTGAAAGTCAGGGAGCTGAATGCGACTAGTCTGGCAACGCTCTAGGTTCGGTTGCCAGTCTATTTCATTCAAGGTGTGTGGGTGGGGGGAGGGAAGGAAAAGGGGTATGGAAAATGGGGAATTTACCTCTTCTCCCAGAGGTTTATAAACATGTATTCGATCATTTAAAAATACTACTACTACTCATACCAGGTACAATGGCTCATGCCTGGATTCCCAGCATTTTGGGATGCCAAGGCAGGAGGATCACTTGAACACAGGAGTTCAATACCATTCTGGGCAACATAGCAAGAACCCATCTCTACAAAAAATTAAAAAAAAAAATTAGTCAGGCATAGTGGTGCACACCTGTAGTACCAGCTGTTTGGGAGGCTGAGGCAGAAGGACCACTGGAGCCCAGAAGTTTGAGGCTGCAGTGAGCTAATGATGACACTACTGCACTCCAGCCTGGGTGACAGAGTAAGGCTCTGTCTCTAGAGATGAAAAAGAATAAGAAATAAAAACAATATTCTTTAAAATAGATTTTGTTGTATGCCTTTTCCTGGGAGACAGCACAGCACTGGAGACAGAGTTGTTATTAGAACCAGCCTCACACTCAAGAATCTAATTTAAAATATTTCTTTCCAAATTATTATCCATCAATTATAATAGTTTGATTTACAAAAAAAAGGTTCATTATATGTTTTTAAATAACTCCTCTAGTCTCGACAAAAATGTATGTTTTTGTTGGACTCAAATTTGTAGAGAAATTGGCTTCTGATAATATAAACTGCCTTAACAAAGTTAATCCCTTAAGAAAGCGTAATTTACAGATGAAGCAGTCCTTGGTGTGCTCATCCGAAACCCTGGCCTTGGCCCAGCAGCGTTGAAAAGGCCTGTGTTCCTGAAGGCTCAGGCAAGCAGGGCTGGGCTGGCCTCACCCAGTTTTTTGGAGTTTACAAGAGGCTCCCCCTGGGTGGAGAAGAAAATGACTTGCCTGAGGTCACAAGCAAAGGAACCAGCTGATCCCGGGACTGAATCCCAGAGCACCAGTGCCACACTTTCCTTCTCCTGGGGGGGGGGGGGAATAAATAATTAGTGCTAGAGCCTAATGAGGTGATGGTAACATCCTGATGTTTGCTGAACAACTCCCACATTGTCCTCCTGAGTTCTGCAGCAACGGGTGGAGGGGGCTTTCTGTCTCCACCTTTCGAAGCTTCCCCAGAGACCCCTGCGCAGAGAGTGGGAGCCTTTGCTAAAGGGACAAAGTGTCTGTGGGTGCTCTTGCTTTTCAAGGCTGAGGCACCCTAGGGTGTCCCACGAGCATCAGGGTTAGACCTACAGTTCAAATGCCTCCTCTGCCCCTTGCTAGCTGGGGCATCTAGTACACGTGACTGTTAGTAAGAACTAACTGTACTGAGTGCTTGCTGGGTACTGTGTTAAGTGCTTCACCTTAAATCATGGCATTCAACCTTCAAAAGAACCTTATCAAGTGCATTATCACCTCTATTGTTCAGATGAGGGAAATAATAAAACTATAGTCAAGATCACAGTGCAGGTAGGTGGGTTCTAATCCCAACTTTGTCACCTTTTAGCCAGCGTAATTGCTCTGAGACCCAGTTTTCTCACCTGCAAGATGGGTGAAGCTACAGATGAACCTCTTAGGACTGAGGTGTGCTAAATGAGAGAGTGCATGCATACAAAACCCAGTGCCCGGCACACAGGGAGCATTTCCTAATCACTAGCTGCTGCTGCTATCAGCTGCAGTCGCCCATGTCACAGGGTCGCCTTCCATTTTCAGTACCACAAATACTACGTTCCAGGCTCTGTGCCAGGCTGGGGTTACGGAGATGGCAAGACCCATTCCTGCCCCGGTGAAGCTGAACATCTATGAGGGACTGGCACGTAAATTGCTGCTGCACAAAGAATGGCGTGACTGATGAATGCGTGACAGGCTCTGAGAACACGCAGGGAGGCTGTAACAGAGGAGGGCTATTCCAGCAGGCTCTGAGGGGTGCATAGGAGTTTGCCTGCCATAAGAGGATCCATCTAGGCACATGGATGACATTTGTAAAAGCAAAGAGAGGAGGAGGAGGGGATGTTAAGGGAAGGGTAAGTAGTTCAGTGTTGCCGGGACCTTGGGACTGGGCTGCATGGGGCCTGGGGCACAGTCATGAAGACTTTGAAGGGGAGACATGAAGGTCTAAGCAAACGGGTAACAGGCTCTGG